TATGTGTAGGATGCTTCTGTTTATATGAAGAAGATATAAATATGCGTATATATACATTAAAATGCTCTTAGGCCAAGTGCAGTGGCTCAGCCTATAATCCCAGCACTTTGGGAGGCCGAGGCCAGAGGATTGCCTGAGCCCGGGAGTTCAAAACCAGCCAGGGCGACTTGCTGAGACCTTGTCTCTACAATAAAATCACACACACACACAAAAACTAGCCAAGTGTGGTGATGTGTGTCTGTAGTTCCAGCTACTTGGAAGGGTGAGGCAAAAGGATCGCCTGAGTCCTGCAGGTCGAGTCTGTGGTGGCTGTAAGTGTGCCACTGCACTCGAGCCTGGGAGACAAAAGTGATACTCCAACTCAAAAAAAAAAAAAAGTTCTAGAAGAAAACACAAGGAATTTTTGTGAGTTACCTCTGAAAACATAGAGGAAAACGTTTGTCTTTTACTGAATTCTCTTCTGTACTGTTTGAAAACTTTGTCATGAACATATATTAATTCTATAATTAAAAAGGGAAGAAAACAAACCCTTGGTTTAAAATACCTAAAAAGCAAATGAGTCATTACAACATGTATGAAAATCGTTTTAAAACCAAACAAGTTGCTGTCTTAGAAGACAGACTTTGCTTCACATTTCTTAATTACAAGGAGGAGTTCTTCCATTATTTTATTTATCTAACACTTAGTAATGCTTACTTTATGCCAAGTACTATCTTAAGTGCATTAATCATTATGTAATCATGTGTGGTTACTATTATTATCCCCACATTACAGATAAGAAAATCAAAGCACGTAGACGTTAAATAACTTAGCCATGGTCGCATGGCCAGTAAGCTCTAGAGTTGAGATTCAAACCCAGGGCATCTGACTCTAGAGAATCCATACCTTAACCACTAGGCTTTGTTGTTTCTTGAAGTCATAAGAAATTTTGAGCCCCACCTGGGTCTAACTATATAACCTGCTAAAAGGGGCCCATATCCTATAGCCCCAACTCTCTCTAGAATACTTCCAAGCCGGGCTTGGTGGCTCAGCCTGTAATCCCGCGCCTTGGGAGGCTGAGGTGAGTGGATTGCCTGAGCCCATGGGTTCGAGACCCGCCTGCCCAGGCGAGACTTCATCTCTACAATAAATCCAAAAAATTAGCCGGGCGTGGTAGTGCGCGCCTGTAATTCCTACTTGGAAGGCTGAGGCGGAAGGATCGCCGGAGCG